AGAGTTTCGATTTTTACACATATAGCAAATAGACTAATCACAAAAATGCGGAAAAAAAACTTTGAAAAGCGGAGTCCGGATTTTTATTGCTGAAAACGGCCGTATTCTTCTCCTCTTCTCCCGCACATGTCTGAGTTTTCCCCAAATGCATTTGCGCGGTGAGAGAATCCCGTTTAGTTACAGGGAAAAAATTAATACCAAAAAAATAAAAGTGAAAACTTCCTCACTCAACCTTTGCATTTTGGAAAGGTTATAAAACAAAAAATAATAATGATTTCAAAAGTAATATGATAAGGTGAACCGTAAACAATTCATATGCATAATCATTGCAGGTGCCACCTGTTGAATGATCAAATCGATTAGTTCACTCACCGCTTTTCAAATTAGTGTATCCACATTTGTCACAAGTGAAAAAAATTCAGGTAGTCAATTAAGCTAAGTATCTCTATCATCACCTAGAGTGGCGTTATATGAGGCCTAATGTAATCAATCATTTTCAGATTAATGGTATAAGTTTGAAAATGTGATTTTCTACCACTACATGGTAGATATGTTGTTTGATATGATTTTCTACCACGTAGTGATACCATACCAATTTATTTATACTTTTATCCGGACTAGGTGAGAACCCGAGGGGTCCCTTGGCCCTCGAACCAGTCCTGTCCTGTCCAACTACTATCTCTCTTCTATCAAGAGTTCTGCATGTATTTCATCAGCCATTCATTAAATAAAAATGATCTGCGACCTATCAACATCGTATCAATCGAGAAGATTTATTGTTTCATCGTTGGTGTGCGAATATCTAGTAAAAATTCCATTATTGATGGTAATGAAACATGAAAGAAGTATTTATGGAGCAATGAATAGTTCACTATCTATTCTTCGGCATGCAGGTGCTGGTAGTTTCTTCTTAATAATATTGCTCAGCAGTAAAACTGGCAGGTGAATCGCATCATAGAATATTTCAAAGCATCTTGAGACTTGCATATATCGCGTTTAAAGTGTGATATATCTCTCTAGTAATGGGTGCTGGCCTCGTAAGAGGGAATTTTTCTCCCCGGGATTATATAATTTATGGGTAAAACTTGGTACGTGCAAATTTATCATATGGTCTGTGAGACATGGGGCTCATGAATTGCAAGGAACAGATTACCAAGATTTCACAAGTACATAGTTTACATTACAAACTTTTTTACTTCACGAGTTACACCCAAATAATTAGAATCAAAACATTATATTTTCTAATTTTTTTGAGAAATAAAAACCTTTATTTGCGAAATTATGAAACAACAATAAAAATTAATTGGCTTAAGTGAGAGATTCAATAGGTCAATTGTGGAAAAAGCACGCTGTCTCCTGTATGATGCTTAATTCGACAAACACCTGTGGGCAGAGGCTGTGAATACAGCAGTGTATTTAAAGAACCGATCACCAGCAGCTGTTTTGGATAATGGTACTACCCCATATGAGATGTGGACAGGCAGAAAACCAGATCTAAGTCACATTGAAGTGTTTGGAAGTCCAGTTATGGTCCACATTCCGAAAGTAAGACGTAACAAATGGGACAAAAAATCTCAAATGTTACAACTGGTTGGATATTCAGAAAATTCCAAAGGCTACAGCTTATATGACCCGAAAACAAATAAAATTACTGTGACACGGGATGTTGTAGTCATGGAAAGTGATACAAAAGATACAATAGAAGAATGTATCTTTCAGTTCTCACAAGGCCAGATATCTCTTATAGTGTTATCTTTCTGAGCCAATATAACTCATGTTATAATGAGACACATTGTAAACATTTATGTACCTACTTTCATCATCTATGAAAATAAAAAGTCAGTCTGTTGTCAACCATTACCGTGTTTTATTAGATTCCAGTGGCGCATTTGTTTTCTCAGCTGCAGGAACACCCGGAAAAATCTGCAGCACCACATCATCCGAAGATCTTGATCTACCAATGTCCTCTCTCTTATAAAACAAAATGTAGGGTGTCTCCAGAGGCTCCAATAAATTCAAGACATCGCCAGAACATTCAGAGACACGACAAAGCACCAATTAATTTTTGTTGTTGTTTTATAATTTGATGATTTGTAGTTTGGAAACACTGAAGTTCAATTTTGAATAAACCTAATAATAAAAATAACTTCCATAAAATACGAACTTCACTGGACTACTGTATTATTAAGTTATATCTAAACGAACTGTACTTCAATTAGTGTTTCGCACAATTTTAGCGTGTAAATCATAGAACCGACAACAAGCCAATATTTTTTCCATTCATTTTTAGTGGGTAATCACAGATAAAAACTACAATTATAATAATGAATGTTAATCGCAATAAACGAATTATTTGACCTTCAATTTTCGACAAACCCAACAGAGCACTAAGTCATGGCTTTGACGGTGGGTCCTTTCGTGGAAAATGGAAGAACTTACAGAATGTTGTCATCTCCAGCAGTCTGCGGTTTGGCTTTGGTGGTACACACTGTATACGCACTGCTTCTTTCGCATATTTGGACAGTTCTGGTCAGTTTCTTTACTGCTGTTGCTTTGATGAGTGCCCTTTACATCAAGAGAAGGAAGTCTCCAGTTAATCTTTTGGTTTTTTCGGGATTTGTGAGTAAATAACATAGTTTTTCATACGTAAAAATTGAATTAACGATATTCAAACACATACGAGTATGGAGGTAAAAACTTGATTCTAAAAACTTTCATATAATATCTGTATACCGCTAATCTAATCTTTCATATTCATGTTTCAAGAGGGGAAACGTTTTCTTCTCAACAATAAAGTATTTTCACAATATAATTAGCATTTATGAAATAAATATATATGCATATCTCGTTTCAGAAAGGTTATATGCAGGCGCTATCAGTATAAACGAGGGTGGTCTGAAAAGATCGAAGATATTTTTTCAGTTTTCACTCCTCCCAGCGATGCTCCCATGTCTGCAACCCGTGCAAATAGTACTCAGCGTTGTTCTCTGTAGACTCATTATTCACGAAGATGATTACCTCTTCATCAAATGAAGAGGTAATCTTCATTTGATGAAGAGGTAATCTTCTGCTTCTGATTTGTAGAAAGGTCAGGAAATGATGAAGGTTTTGAGAAGATGTTGGTAGTTTGCAGATGATCTCGGTATTTTGATCACGCATTTCAAAAAAACTCAGTTCAGAAGCAATTGGAAAAATACTAAGCAGTTTTCATAAGAAGCAAATAATAAACTAATCCAAGATGCTGAAGAATATAACTTATATTCATACTTATGGCATACTTTTTAAATCCCTCCTATCAGTTTTTTGTATTCCCTTTACAAATCAGGAATATTTTTAATGTTATTTTGCTCTTTGTGACATCTGTGTGAAAATAGTTAAACTAAGTGGAGTGTTTTCTTCACGATTATGAACTCTATCTCTGACACTTCCTACTTTACCGGCAAAACATATTACAGTTCGACTACATGTCAATAGAGGGCAATACTAGGAATATAGTGTTTTTAAATAATTTTTGTATTGTATAGTTCAGTCATAGTATAAAGATGATTATCTTTATATTATGGTTCAGTACAGAAATTACGTATTGGAAATGATTATATTGAAGGAAGAAAAATGCATTTGACGGAACCAAAAATATGTATACGTAGGTAAATAAATTATTAGGTTATTACAGAAATCGTCAGCATGACCAAGGTGTTTTACTCCAAAAAGAGAATATTGAACCCACCTTCAAAAAAGGAAAATTTAATTAATTACAGAATATTCTTTATGTTCTTCAGAAATATTTGTTTTCATCTGTTCGTGGCGACATCTTTGATCGAGTAGCTGAACTTAAAAATTCTCATTCCCAGTTGAGGAATGTCAAGGAAATGAAGTTATCTTTGCATTTGTACTTTTATAATTTTGATATCGTTCACAAGAGGACGCAATACGTAAAATTTCATTTCAGTCTATGATTTCGACACAGAGAAATAAGTTGACGTAATATCAATTCTATCGTGTTGCCTCCATCAACAACATTATTTTTGAATTATGTGATTATATTATTTGAAGGTTTTGTAAAAATGCAATTTTGCGTCATCTTGTGGTCGATAGATAAATTATAAAAAAGTCACACTCTGATTGAAATCCTAAATGGCGAAGAAAATGAATGTAGGTTTGGACATTCTATAAAAGATGGCTCTAGTGGCAAGTAAATAAAAAATAATAATTTTTAATTGTAAATAATTATAGCTTACTTACACCATTTCACTGAAATAGCAGAGAATAGGTGTCGTTTAACACAATGATCTACTCTGCGTTTTTTGAAACGAAAGTAGGGTTGAATCCACTAACGATTTCTTGTTGTTTTTTTTGAATACTTATTTGTTACTTTCGTATACTGCTATATAGATAGGAATATTAGTAGTTATAGAAATGTTTGGCAATTGTAAACAATATATAACTTCTATCCTGAGCCATGAAATATATTACAAAACTATTTAAAATATTATTTTAAGGGAAGTCGAAACTTGTGCGAGGCAAGGACTAACGAGGTCTTACCTTTCAACGTGTGATTCCTAGCACGGGTTGGACGATAGCAAGTGAAAATCCATCGTCGGGCCTTGCGATTCGAACCACCGGTTCGCACAGCGGTCGATTGACTGTGTGGAGCTGACCATCCAAGTCAATCCAACAGGCCTCCGTCATTGTACACTTAAAACATGCCGTCAGATGCTAAATCTATGAGACATTCTCTATTATTTGCTAGGAAATCTTAGCAAAGAAAGGAGTCAGTATCTGTCAATGCCTATAGTATACATAATCCAGTTACAGAAAGCAGGTTGATATAATTTTTTCTTCCAAGCTTCACAGTATTGACGGAACACGGGAAATTACCGCTAATGATATATTTGTCTCCTGCAGTTTCTTCAACAATCTTTTTCTTTCAAAAGGATGATGAAGCTGAAGAGCTAATTTGAAGTTCAACAATGCTAAAAAACAGTAATTTGAACAGCAGCTTATTTGCCTTCCATGCCAGTATGGCCAGGAATCCACACCAGAGACAATCTGTTGAGTTTTCCTATCGATGAGAGTGGTTTTTGTCAATTTGCTACCAATTTAGCATTCTGCCAGAAGACCATAAATCTTCTTGTCATCCAGGTGTTCGAACTTTGTTTGGCAAAGCCTAAATCGATGCCAATGACAGGTTCTGGTCCGAGGAAGCTGCTTGCAGCAGGTAGATATATCTGTCCTAGGTCTGCGACTAAAAACACCTGCACCAGAACCGAAAGGTGTTTTTGATCCATCTATGAACCAACAACTATCCGCTCTTAATATTTCTTTCTCCCGAAGGATCCAGTCGTCCCTACTCGGGAATAGTGGGCAATTCGCAGTTGACAGTTGGAGGTACTCTGCATTAAATTGATTTGTGCAATCGGCAATATGCACAAGTCTGTATGCAGTCCACCTAGCCTCTCTCTCTCTCCATAAAAATGTGGGGAAGAGGTAGATCTCCCAAACAAATCCAATGGATTTGTTTGGGACCTAAACCCCAAGTTTTACCACAAATCTTTCGACATGTCCATAGAGACAGTCTGGCTTTGTGTAAAACTGTTTCCAGGTGAGTCTTTTATCAAGGACAATGCCAAGATGTTTCACCTCCGTTCCAAATGGAATGATCTCACCATTGAGGGAAAGTGGCTATTTTCTCCTCTTGGTGAAGGGGATTAAAACAGTTTTGCTGGGGTTGACAGACGTCTGCTCCCTCAGGCACCAACTGTGAATAACGTCCAACGTGCTTTGGAGGATATTACAAGCTACCCTTTTCAACGTGGACCTTGCCAGGACGACAAGGTCAACTGCATAAGCTTGCAGATCTACTTTTCTTCTGTCGAGGGCATCAAGCAGAGTGTTCATCAGGAGCGACCACAGAAGAGGAGAGTACCCCACCTTGAGGGCAGCTCCTGATGACCCTGAGCCTGATGGACTCGCCTTGAAGAGTCGAAGTTGCAGTTCTGTTTACTAACATGGCATAGATACAGCCAATTATGGTCGATTCTATACCCTTCCTAGCCAGAGACAATCCTATATAGATTTAAGTAGTGCATTGTCAAATGCTCCTTCAATATCAAGAAATACAGCAACCGGGTGTAATTTAGTTTTATCCTGTAGGTACGTTAGCCCAAAAGTTATTTATCCCTTTGTGTTTCAGAACATTCGTTAGTTTTTCCATATTCATCGTAGGAGGATTGTTCCAAACCTTTTCTCGTTCAACAAAGTGGGATCTTCCAATATCATCAGGAGGAGCTTTAGTGTTTGGTGTCTTGGGCATAGCAGACACCCAACGGTCTCTGCAAGCATCGACTTCGGAGGAGTACGTCATGTCCACGATAAATCTTTATTTTGACGTAATCAATTTATTAGTGTATATTTTACGGATATTATATGTAACGGTTTGAATAAATCACCTATTTGAAACCTCTAGAGACATTTTTATCCGTTTGATACTAATAAATTATCACAGATAGGAAATTTTCTGTGAAGATTCCTGCATTGACGCCTGTCGGATATAATCCAACGCCCTTCGTGGTATTAGCCGGGGGAGTAGTTGTTTTCTGATAGGCGTCAGTCCATTCAACCTACTGTTTAGGTATATCCGAGACTGGCTTGAACATTTAAAGTTAATTTCTTTAAATATAATTATGTAAAGGTTAGCATGATGCAAGACACAAACATGTATAAATCTTTTCTAGATATCCTTGTATCAACGATCCCAAAGAAGCAGAGATGTCAAAATTGTTATTTTCATCACTAGTAAATTATTATAGTTATTCAAAATCTGCCCCGAAGGACCATTTTTCCAAAAAATGTTTCTCAGGACCCATGAAACCTAACCTAACCTAACCCATGAAAATAAAATATTTGTATGAAATCGTTTTTTTTACCGGATTCATCATAACCCTTTTTTCAGTTAGTTCAAGCATTCATTAGGTAGTTTAATATCAATGAAACAAACAATAAATTCAACGTTTTAATATATTAAAATTGTTCTTTTTATATATAATGCCGATAAAAAGAAAATCTAGAGTAACTAGTGATTTTTTTTTCACAACACATTTATAAATTTCTAAATACAAAACATTTTTCATAACAAGCAAATATACATTCGAGGATTCAATGAACTTACAACATTAAATAATTATTATTCGGTATAATAAGTTTCATCTCTCAGTAACAATTGGGCGAAGAAAAAAAACAGACTTTTATGTAAAAACGAATCAAAAACACGGCACAATTTTACTGCTATTTGATCATTACTACAAAATTATATGAACGAGTATTTGATTCAATTTCGTTGAATTTTATGAGAAATCACAGTCATGTGCAATATTCGAGAATCCAATTCCATATATGCAATTATTTTCTCAAAATTTCCAACATATCAAGTTTTTATTAATTTTTTCCACTGAAGATACTCATCTTTTCATATATGGCAAGTTTTGGAATAGTTTTTGCCTTCCTCTTTTCTATTTTTTCTGTTAATTGTATCTACCTTTATTTTGAATATTACTGGAATTTTTTCCCAACACCAAATCGTTATTTTTAACACCTCGACACGTGTTTCGATCACCAAGTGATCATCTTCAAAGAGGAAGATCAAACTAGAAACTAACGCGAAGCTAACGCTATTTATGCTATATAGATATCCCATTAAGGTAAACCATCCAGGTGTATGTACCTGTATGGGATATCTATATAGCATAAATAGCGTTAGCTTCGCGTTAGTTTCTAGTTTGATCACTTGGTGATCGAAACACGTGACGAGGTGTTAAAAATAACGATGTGATGTTGATAAAAAACTCCAGTAATAGTCATTACTACACCAAAGGTTCCAAACAGTGCTTCATAACCTTTATTTTGACACCCAGAAACTTGTCTCAAAACCTACCTATAGTAGAGGGTCCGACTACAGAAATTCCAAGGACAAAGGTCGGGACTGTAGGTAGGTCTCAAATGGTACTCTAAATAGTATCTCGAAAACGGTTCAAGATATAAAAAAAAATGTTTGAACTAAAGTTGTAGAGAATTCAATCCTCTACAATAATCATTGTGTATACAAACAGCATAAAACGCATAGGAAACGAGATATTTGCAATGAACGTGTAAAAAAAAGTTGATTTTTTTGACCTTTGACCTTAGAATGACTGTAGTCACGGACACACTACGATAAGTAGGTTTTGAGACAAGTTTTAAGGTGCCCACATAAAGGTTTATTCGGAGAAACTGAGGAAAATCACGCAAGACCAGCTCTGTCAAATGTTTCAACAATTATGGAAAAGCAGAAATATTTTAAAAATCATGGAGAATCAACCCAAGAGAAGTAATATTTTCATGTTCAGCAATAAAACGAACCTCATCTCCTGATAATGTTAACTGGACTTGGTTTTCAATGGGGAACTGTTCCTATTCTGTGACTTTCATTTGATTTATATTTACCAAATATGAATATGTTTTTTAATAGCTGAGCCAACCTCCACGAATGAAAATATACTTCGATTCTGTAATCAAAATAGCCAAAAAATCCCAAAAAATTCAAGAGGTTAAACACGCTCGTTGATAATTATTTTTCAGATTTTTCAATTTCAATTATTTAGAAAAATATGTAAGACACCTTTATGGCAGTGACAGATTACAAACCTCCATCTTAGTTTCACGATTAGGAGCTAATTTTGGTCTCATTTATCAAAAAAAGGGTACGCTGAACAGACTTATAAACGAATCTTTCATTTTCATTATTATTAAAAATAAATAAGTGAAATTGTCAAAGTCATTAGCTTTTTTATGAATAACCAACCTTACGGGTCTCTTTTTAAAAAATAAAATCAACTCTTTCTGAAAAAAATTCAACCACCACATTCACAAGTAAAACATAGTTATTAATCCAAAGAAACTTTGTGTGATTTTCACTGAACAGTTTTACAAAAACGCTTGNCATAAAGATGGAATTTTGCTTCTTTCAGAATTTAATGTACGCTGCTTTTAGAAACACTAGAAATAGTCTCAAGTTGTCTTAAAGGTCGAATGTTGTCCATCACTGCATGTCCTACAACTGCAACAGCAACCCCTTTATTTCTCATAGGCTTCTGTCATAAACTTATTCATGAATTTATTCATCAATTGAATCAAGTACTGACATGATGTGTTCTTTTCTGGATGAATTCCATTGAAAATTCGAGCCGTAGCTCTAGCACATCTAGCAATGGATATTCTCTCTTTTATAGTATACACCATTTTCAAATTGTTGAATGAAGTGAATCGAATACATCAATATAGCTAGGCCTAAACGCAGATAGTCGTATATCAAAACACATTGCGACATTTTCTTTTCATGAAAACGTCTGTCTCACCTTCTGATACTTGAATAAGAAATATCTATTATTAGAGGTGTCTTTCAGAGCGCATCACTGACAGATATTTATCTCTCTCTTTCTTGTCCTCTATCTTTTTTTTACTATCTCTTCCTTTCTATACTCTCTTCACTATGTTTGGTTATACAGGAAAAGATATACTATTTAGTTTGCTGGCTACAACACAAGCTTGCTTAGGTAGCCGTAACTTTCATTAGAATTGTATTATCTCTACATTTCATGTATCTTTATTCAATTATTTTATTTTTATTTCAATTTTATTTTATTTAATTTAACTTTTTTTATCCTTTTGTCATAGACGACTATGTATTTTGTCTTATTACTGAATTGAATAAATTTACTTGCTTACATTAGCCCTTATACAGTGCATTTCTTTAATGCCCCCCTTTTATTTTGTGAACGGGTCAGCTTAATTGGGATAATGAAATTAATGCTTGAATACTTTATTTTGAAGTGAAATTGGCAGATGAAACTTTCAAAATGGCGACTGGGAAAGACAATTAAATGGAAAGGGGGATCTTGTGACACATCTGATATGGGGTGAAAAACTCACCTAATTTTGCGGTTTGCGCCCTCATCATCTCTTGCTTGATGATTATTTCATTAGTAATGTAAACTTCACGACGTATTTGATCTCGTAGATCGCCTGGCATGTCCGGTATACACCATTTCACGATGATCATGACAAGCACTACAACATTTTCGAATATCACTACGAACGCTAGCTTAGCTGCCAAGATGTGCCAATACATGGAGGTTCGCTCATATTCATTTGGACCTCCTGGAGGTTCTCTATAGTCGGGATATCTGCGAACACATAAACATTATTCTTTATCTGCTGGTGATACGGTATACGAAGGTACGTGTTAGGAATCACACGTTAAAAGGTGAGACCTCGTTGAGCCTTAGCTCGCACAAGTTTCGACTTCTGAGGGTTGTCGTTCGTAGGGGGGCGACAGCTGGTTAGCGAGAAAACAGAAACAGATACATATGTTTCGTTCTTTTTTAGTCGTTTCTCTTTAATTTGCAATGATTGTAGGTTAGTTCAAGTCAAATGATTGAATTATGAATGGGCTGACCCATTACTTGATAGAAATTATCAACACTACACATGAGTACATAATTCTCACAAACATTTTCATTTCTAGACACATTTTACTTCCTTGGTATATCCTCACATAAAATACTGGCAACTTCAAGAGACTCACATATACCAGAAAAACATCAGATAAGAAAAAATACTACTTAATAAACGAAATAGCAACATAGCTAGTAACTCTTTGGGTAGATATATACAGAACAAGTCACGGATAGACAAGGATAACAAATCAGGTGTTTAAAAATTAACATGCGGATCATGCTCAAAAGTGCATGTAGGAAAGACTTCAAGAAACTTTTGAACGAGAATTTTCGAACATGGAAGAAGTTTTGAACAGAAGAAGACCAATGGGGAATGTTCCTCCCGACGAAAATCACGTAGTTTTCATAAAAAAGCTCTAAAACACCGCATTTTAAACATATCATTTCAACCTTTTTCTTTAAAAAAATATTTAAATACTTAAAAAAGAGGAATGAAATAATGCATTCAACATTTAAAGGGATTCGTTTCTATTTCACCATTTGGCAACATCGGTTATAGCTAATAAAGGACAGTGAATCTGTTACCTGTATGAGACAAACAAAGATGACATATTTAAGAAGCGTGCTGTTCTGTTTACTTATGTTCCGAGNATATTTTATATATTCGCTTTCAGAATCCCAGTGATGAGGTCTCGATTTATTGTCGAAATCTCCTGTGTTGAAGTATGACAAGGAACTGTTTAAATAGTTCTCCAAAGTACTATGCTTGCTCATGTAAACCAACCTCGGTATGAAATCTGAAGTGAAAGCAATGATGAATCCCTGAAAATTCACCAACATTACATTTTCTTTATGACGCTGTTCAACAACTTACGTTGGTAACGACAGACAGTTTTCCTATGGAATCTAATATCCTGTACCACACTCCGATATCTCTGACTCGTTGCGAAACTGGTCGTCTGTAGAATGTCAAAAGTTTTTGAGCATCGAGTCGCATTTCCAAAACGTTATTCAACAACGCGAAAAATGGGGCCAGGGGAAAGGCTGCGACAAATATAGTGAGAAAACCGTACTGAAGCACTGAAAAATAAAAAACCTCCGTTAATCTACAGATACTAAGCGTTTTGTACCTCACAGCATCACGTTACACAATTATTGATGATTTTAACACAACTAACTATGAGGTGTTTTCAGAAAATAAGGTTAAAGTTCAAATTTCGCAGGCTACGTAGAGTCAAGTAGCGAGTTTTTAAATTTTTATGTTGGTACACTCAAAAAACATTTGAAATGTTGACAGTGGCATATTGTGATTGTACTCTTGAGTCGATAAAATGTTTACAAGTGGTACAACTTTTTCACAGAAGGCCGAGAAGATATGAATAACGACGCTCGCCCTGAATGCCCCAGCACATCATAAACCAGTGAAAATGTTGTGAAAATGAAGAATATTATTATGGAGAATCGTCGAACCACTATCAGAAAAGATGCTGAGGATGTCGGCATATCGGTTGGCTCATACCATGCAATTTTTTCTGAAATTTTGGGCATGAAGCGTGTGGCAGTGAAGTTTGTTTCAAAATTGGTGATTTTTTACAAAAAAAAAAAAACCGTAGCATAAGCATCGCCCAAGAATTGTTGAATGACGTCAACGGCGATCCAGATTTGCTTAAAAGGGACAGAGCTGGTGACGAATACTTGAGTCGGTAAAATGTTTACAAGCGGTACAAACTTTTCACAGAAGGTTGAGAAGATATGAATAACGACGCTCGCCCTGAATGCCCCACATCATAAACCAGTGAAAATTTTGTGAAAATGAAGAATATTATTATGGAGAATCGTCGAACCACTATCAGAGAAGATGCTGAGGATGTCGGCATATCGGTTGGCTCATACCTTGCAATTTTTTTTGGAAATTTTGGGAATGAAGCGTGTGGCAGTGAAGTTTGTTTCAAAATTGGTGATTTTTTACCAAAAAAAAACCGTAGCATAAGCATCGCCCAAGAATTGTTGAATGACGTCAACGGCGATCCAGATTTGCTTAAAAGGGACAGAGCTGGTGACGAATGGGCTTGTTTCATGATACTGAAAATGATCGATCCCAAGATTAAGTTTAAATTGGCCGCGTATCCGTTGACCAATAAAACTGATCGTGTTTACAGCTACGTTGCCAAGTGTATTGGTTTTTAATGTCCAATCATAGAACCAAAATATAGTGATCCAATTTGACAGACGCCATTTTTGTTATTATTGTTGTCAGCTCGGCGTGAATACAACTGTTATAATCCGATTTGTTTGTTACAGTTTTCTAATTAAATCACGCGTGTCTACTTTGCTGTATGTTTCGTGCCATTAGTTTGCATTCCAAAAAATATTTTTTCAGGTTATTTTTGGATTGAATTTTACGATTACTACCACCAAAATGGTTGAAATATGTTTTATACCTAGTTGTAGAAACAGGTCATCCACACCAGACAAAAAGTTTTTCAGTGTTCCAAACAATAAAATTCTAGAGACCTGTGGTTTTTCATAACGCTTGAATTTAGTAGCAATATTTAGAAGAAATATACAGGGTGTAACTAAATAAGTGTAAAACATTTAAGGAGGTTATTCCTCATCGAAAAAAAGATAGGATCTTTCATGTAGAGAAATTTCATTGGAGCATCCAAATTGGTATGACGCTGTCAGTTTCTGAATTTTTGAAATTGAATTAATACTAATTGTGTTTTGTTGATCTGTTCTTAATTTGTTACTTTAATAATTCACTCGTTATTAAAATGGCATACACAAATGAGGAAATGGCTGATATGCATTACATTTACGGTCTGTCGCAGGGGAATGGGTTAGAAATGGGTTATGCAAATATTACGTATTTTTCTTTAAAATAATTTTCGCGCCTCCGGCAGGCTTTTCTATGTGTATATAGTCTTTATGACTTTAGCNTTCCTCTTTTTCAAGTATTTAAATAATTTTTTAAAGAAAAAGGTTGAAATGATAAGTTTAAAATGCGTTGTTTTAGAGCTCTTCTATGAAAACTACTTGATTTTCGTCATGAGGAACACTCCCCATTGGAACAATTCATTATCAAGATAAAATTTCCTAAGTTGTTCCAAATATATTAGATAATAATCTCATTCAACATTCTCTTCAAGATGTTCGATTCACGTTACTCGAAAGTAAAGTGTTAGTTTGAAATAAGTGATGTAACAAATTAATTATTGAGATAATGAATCTTTCAAAATAATAAGTTTCGATTTGGAAATATCTAAGCTAATTAATAAATGTTTCACCTCTTCTTGTCGGTATCCATAAATTTTATTGTATTCCTTCGGATAACCCACAAATCTTCCTTTGAAGAAGGCAATATAAAAAATGGATGCATAGTAATTCACGAACTGGAGCAAATAAATTTTCAGAGTGAGAGAATCATCGAATTCTGTTTGTGTTCTCAGTAGTTCGAACTCTGTCAAATATTCTGCCAACAGTGTGTATATCTGAAAAAAAAAGAGCGAAAATATCAAAACCAAATATTATTTCTAATGCAAAACTTACATAATTGAATATCACGATGAAAACTAGATTGATACAGGCTGCTGTACAGGTAGTAAACAGCATGGCAGAACTATTGTCGACTAGTATAGGAGAAGCGTGATCAATAGCCTTCAAAGACACCAAAACTGACATTCTGTAAAGCACTACTGCCACAACGGTCGCTAAGGCTAGAGTTACCTGAAATCGACAGATTTAGCATTAAACAACCTTGTAGAGTAAAATTTCCCAATCCCTTGACAACAAGGAGATTGCGGTCGTTGAATTTCTCGATACTGAAGTAGCATTTGACAATGCACTACCTAAATCTATAGGGATCATCTCTGGCTAGGAAAGGTATAGAAGCGACTATAACTGGCTGGATCTATATGCCATGCTGGTAAACAGAACTACGACTCGTCAAGGCGAGGCCATTAGCTTCAGGGTCACCAGGTGCTGCTCTAAAGGTGGGGTACTATCGCTCCTGATGGATAGTCTGCTTGATGCCCTCGACAGAAAAGTAGATCCGCAAGCTTATGCAGATGCCCTTGTCATTTTGGCAAGGTCCACGTCGGGAGGGTAGCCTGTAATATCCTACAAAGCACGATGGACGTTGTTGACAGTTGGTGCCTGAGGAAGCAGATGTCTGTCAACCCCACAAAAACGGGGATAATCCCCTTCACCAGGAGGAGAAAATTGGACGATCTAACCTCAACGGTGAGGTCAGTCCATTTGGAATGGAGGTGAAATATCTTGGCATTGTTAAGTTTTCACAAACTACACCTAAACGACTTGATCTTCACAAACTTTATTGAAAATATATCACATGTTTCGCTAAACATTAGCCTTTTCAAGTGATTAAATTAATCACTTGTTGCAAGCAGCAGGTAGATATATCTGTCCTAGGTCCTCTTACCGCTGACCTGAAAGACCATTTGCCATACAAAGCAAAAAAAGCAAAGCAAAGCAAAAATCTTTTTTATTAAAATAAACTGTTCACATGCCTACATTTCATGAGTACCTCTACCTTAAGGGTAGAGTAACAAAGTGACTTCAGACAGGCGAGCCTTCGCGTCCCGCCGATAGGAGGCGGTGGAGAACGCTCCCCGCGATTTTAGCGGGTTGAAGTTCACCCAGAAACATAGACTTTATTCAAAACGACTAGGTAATGTACCTCCTGCCGCCAAGAAAATCATAATCTAATGTTTTTAGTACTCACCAGTAGGAGTACTATGGAAAAACTAAAGATGGTCATTGGAACACGAATTTTCCAGAAGGGCACCTGCGGCTCCATTGTATTCGTCACAACATTGATTTGTTTCTGTTTGATATGAGCAAGACGTGCTAAGTACTGGGGTCTGGGGTGTTCTTCTTGGATATCAAACCCAGTCAAGTCCCAACGGTGGGTGATTTCAGCGGAATATCTCTTCCACATCTCCAAAAATAAAGTAGCTATAATATCCATATTTCAGAATGAGAGACACATCATTGAAAATATCAGACAATCAGGAGAGGCAAGAGAAATTCCTGTTATATACTAAAAAATATGAAATAGCTGCCATATTTATCACTACTACTATTCCTACAGACCATATAATATGGCAGATGAAAAGGAATATTTCAAGAAATATCGATAATAATGTGTTTGTCTTCAGAAAATTATTAAATGTTCCGCCATTTTGTAGTAAGTGAAGATATTGACTTCATATTCTAGGGTTATGAAGTATTTGTCAGAAGCTTCAAAATTAAGTGTCACAAATTTCATTTTTTTTATTTGACCCTTTCAGAAAACAAAAGGGGAACGGGGGACATTGAAGAAATGACCTGCATGTAAATTTTCAACATACTTAGACAGCAAAGAAGCTATGAAATGAATAGATGCATTAAGCAAAGAAGAAGGAACACTGTAAAAATCCATTTCCAGTATAGAAAGCATAGCTTCAGATATTTCTCATGCATATCCCGCTTCTTCGTGTCAATTTGACTTACCCCATATGGACATGAATATGGCAAAAAATACAGTTGTCGGATTGTCGAAGAGATATGTGATTCTAGCATGAAAACATGATTCAGTGATATCCCAATAGCTGCACCAGACATCACAAAGCGGGCACATTTTCTCCTTGACTCTTTGATTGCAAATATCCTCACTGAACAGAAAGCACATTCAAGAAATACATCAATTAAATTCAATGCCTCCTTTGAATTTTCTTTCATGATCAATCAAATTATACAATTATATTAACATTATGATCAGTCAGTTAGTTTCCACAATCAGGCATCACCTGAAGACGGTTGTGGATACTAACAATCGAAACGTCGTGACTTGGCTTGGAATCTCCCAAGAGGTTCTCAAACTTATTTTGTCTACCGCCCACTTCGAGAAATAATTATTTTCTAGCACCCCCCAATTTTTTTTAATTTACTACATCTTAAGAATCACAATCGCAGTCATTATTTTAATTATTAAATTATGTGTGTCATGTGAAAATAAGACTTTCTGATGAGGGTAATGTAAAACGCCATTTTGTAATATTAGGAAAACTTTTATTCATGTTATTAAAACAAACAGTTCAATTTGTTAATATCAGGCTCGAACTTACTCAAAAACAGCCGTAAGTCACCGCGTTCGGAAACCTGCAACCAATCTCTCTTTTTAGTTAGCAACTGAATTGAGAATTTAGAAGTCTTCAGATGACTGCACAACGACTTTTCAATGTTTTCAGCCATCTCATCAATTCGTCTTTGCACGGAACTATTGCTCAAAGGAATTTATCAGATAATATCTGCCGCTGGTTTATGGAGCACAGTAGCACAGTGATCTTGTAGCCTTGAGGGATTCATCGCTTCATTCGAAAAGACAAAGAAGACACATAGGCGAAGATGGATTTGTGGGATTTTCAATAAATCCATATTTTATATATTCCGCGCTATACTGCCGTTTCTTCTTTTTTGCTTCCGACATAATTATGTCTACAAAAATGCCGAAGTGAAGAATCGAGTATTAAAAACTTGCTAACGACACCACTCACAGTATTCACCACCGCACGTTCAGCACTTTACCGAGCTAGTCGCTAACTAAATTCACTTGTTTTCATATCGAATGGCATTACTGGCTGGATAGCACGCGCGCTTTTATATGAGGCAGCGGGCGGGCCTAGTACTTTCGAGAATGGAGACTAGAAACTTCTCGCTTCGCATTGAAGCTTACCGCCATCTATTGTACACTTTGACAACTATCGGACAGGAAATAGTTACTGTCTAGTCCCCTAGATGGCGTTACACGAGGAAACGCGCGTTAAGCGTAAAGAAGCGGTAAAGTTTGTGTTGAAAGCAAAAACAGTTTTTTAAATTAGCCATCGCCCCCCTAAACCGCTTCAACGCCTCCCAATCTTCTCCGTGCCCTTTACTGCCTCCCTATAGGCCTCCAACGCTTTGAGAAAGACTGCATTAGACAATGGAAGTCCGAGCTAATGAAATTCATCATGAAACATTGTCAATCACCTTCAAACATACAAAATCTATTTTATTGAATTTGTTCGTTGGTGAAGTCTACTATGGAATGCAAAACAATTACACTATTTTAAATCTCTCTACGTTTTCACATAAAACATGAATACAGTCACCTTGGTATATTGCTGTATAACGTCGCACACGAATAAATGAAGCAGGCCAGTCCAACCAAAGCCGCAGGGATGAGCATGTGGGTGTAAAATCCCAACCAAGCAAAATACAGAGCTATTTTCACCCCAAAATACTCCTTTACATAATCTAGTGGTTGATATTTATACCACTTTCTCACAGCAGCCCATTCAGTATATAGCAGATTCCTTGTGGATCCCGTTGTCTTCAAATCTCCCTGAAAAGTATAAAAGTAACGACTAAAATAGATTATATTCTAATTCTGACTTGAACTTACGTCGTGCAAGGGGTAACTGGCTACATAAGCTCTTTCGTTCAGTAGCCTTTCTATACCAAAAGCAAAATCATTGAGAGTGCTATTTGTGAATCGTTTGCGATCCAAAATGAATTGAACTATCCGAGAATGGATGGCTGGCGTAAAAAAACCTAAGGAATCAACATCAAATCTGAAATAACACGAAAATGAAAGAACACAAAAAAAGCAAAGTTGAAAAATTGGAAATCAAAAGCACAGTTCTAATGTTTATCAAGAAACCAAAGCAGAACAAGTTAAAGTTTCTAATTCTATCAATTCTATAATGATAAATATTTCAGGTGTCAGACGATATAACGAAAACTTTTTGCAAGTGCTCCCTCTACCTCCAGTAAACTTTTGGTTCCGATTATCAAAGGAAGTATAGTCGAAGTAAACGATATTGTGCACACTTAGAGTTTGCGGCACTCTCAAAGGCCATAAAAAAACAATACATAGAAATGAACCGGCTGCAAACTAGTCCACATGGACTGTAGAATTGGCGGTTCGTATTTCGTATTTATGATTGACTGAAGAGTCATAAAATTTAATTTGAAGTCATGTTACGGTGACGAATATAAATCGGGGAATGCGGAGATGGTTATCGTCATCGTGTCATCAATGTTCAGTTCAGGAACTGATCGCGATTTAAGTGTTGAAATTCGATATTGGTGCAGTTATAATTACTTGGAAATTTTTGTTATCCGTTTAAAATGTGGCGTCCTTGGACAAGTGTGATATCAACGCAGATTTTTTCCAGTGTAGTGATTCCAATAATGATGGCGAACAATGCGAAAAAGAGATACCAGTGAATAAGATTTGAATGCATTAGAATATTGAAGCTCAGAGAGTATGTTTCAATGTATATAAGAATCTACATTTCAAGTTTGTGTTCGAGGGAAACAAACTATTACAAGCAACATCAGATTTGACCAAAATTCCTTTCTCAACTGTACGTAAAATTGTCAAAAACAAACCTTATGAACGCAAGACGCGATACGATATAGGATTACCAAAACCTTTAGGTGTTCATCTAATAAAAGCAATGAGATTCCTACAACTGAAATAACGTGAGCTGCTGTGACAAAACTCTTCAGAATTGGATAAAGAAACTAGGATTCAGTTTTAAAATAATAAACAAACGTCAAGCAGTTAAGGAAAGCAGGAGAATATTGGAATTATGTTACAAATACTTAGAATAAATAACTAAATACAGACAAGAACAATGGCAAATTTTCTATTTGGACGAAACTTGCTATGACACTCACGAAAGGGTGGACTGATGGTTCGAGAATGTGTACGCCTAACATGCCTGCAAACAAAGGATCGCGACTAATCATTGTGCATTGCGCCGGAAGTAAAGGATGGGTTCCGAATTCTTTGAAATTATGTGGAAAAAACTTGAGGACTCCAATGTTGACTATCATAAGAACATGGAAGCTAATATTTTCGAGGAATGGTTTGATTGATCCCAAATTTGGAGGTGAATAGTGTAATAGTTCTTGACAAAGCTTCCTATCATTCGCAACAGTTCATCAAAGTACTGAATACAAATTCGAGGAAAGATGAAATACAAAGTTTTTCAAATGGATAACAATTTGTATTTTGAAGATTACTATACCAAAAACCAACTACTTGAAGTTTTACAGACAAAAACATTTGAAAAAGTGCATGCCCTTGAGAGTATTGCTGAAAAGTATGGACAGACACACCATACTGAGACTTCCCCCTATTTTGGTGTTTTCAATCCCATCGAGTCGATTTGGGGAAAACCGAAACAAAGCATCAGGCGTAAATATAATTTTCCAAAATTTGATAAGGTAATAGAGCTAATTAAAGAAAAAGCATCCAATATCACTAAAGAAGACTGACAGAAAAGGATTATATAGTTATTGTGATTCTTATATAATCAGAAATGATTATTGAATAATGAAATTAGTTAGCTCCTCAACTACATTATTAAACGGGAGCTGTTGGAAGGTACGTTGCACTATATCGTTTACTTGAACTATACTTACCTTATGTTCATGATCTAAACATCATTGTAAAAAGTTTATTTTGAAATGGATTGGTTTCTTCCTTCTTTCGAAAGCTTCCCAAATTTTTTTGTGTAATGATGGAGAAGTAGAAAGCCAGACAGAACCTTTCTCCTGAAAATATACCTCCTTCAATCAAAACAAAGTTCGTCTTGCTGGGATTAAATCACACAACAGTATGAATGTCATTACTGTGCTTCATCTTGTACTGTTATCTAGATTGGTGCTGGTGAGACAATAAGTCAAATGTCTTATTTCAAAACTTCAAAGTGCAACATTAGGGATGATAGTGTTCCATGTATGTGAAATTTTATTTTATAACTCTTTCATTTTGAAGTCATAACTTCTTTTGGAAGGGTAAACCGGTTCGTTACGTAACGCGTTACGGCGCCGGTCTGTCTGGCTTCCCTGTTTTATATTGTGTAGCATTCATACATATAATATCTGATTCAGTTCGATAGCAAATGTTTTGGAGTACAAACAGTATGATAAAAAGTAACTTTCATATAATTCGATATTCATATGAGAGTAGTTGTTTCAAAAGTTCGTTTTTCTTTTCGTGTATCTCAATATTCACATGAAAGTTGTTTCGGAAGGGCTTTTTTCCAGTTTGTATCTAAAAGTAATTTCTATGAATGATCTTTGCAAAGAGTTTATTTTGAAAAGAGTTGCTTCCTTCCTTTGGAAACTCTCCACATTTTTTGTATAAAGATGGATACATAGAAATCCAGAACCTTTCTTCCCCAATTTATGCAATGTTTCAAACTATCCTAAATTTACATATTTCCAAACAGAACGTGATTGTTAAAAAGTTAATGTAAGATAAATATTCGTATGATTAACTGCCTTGACATACTTACAAATATTCTTTATCTCTGCTGTATATCGCTGTGAACCTATGTCCTTTATCAGGAAATATATTTTTGTCGACAAAAACCCAAGATTTCACTATATCCCATTTACTATTGATCTCTTCAAAAATAAAGTTTGTTTGCTTGGACACCTGCCTAAGTACAGGGATCTAAAATGATAATTTATTAGAAGATGCTTTTGAAAGATATCTGATGATGCAAGAAAAAACAAAAACATAGCAAAAGTTATAAAAAGAACTCTACAAACACAAATTAGTGGAAATCCCTCAGAAAACCATTATAATACCTTCTGCTTGATACTACTAAACATATTAGGTTGTTGATACTCCGGTGGATTATCACATAACTCCTAGACAAAAATATTATATAAGCAAAGATATACTTCAGCCCAAACTAGCCCGAAATACCCAAAAAATTGTGAAAACAAACAAATATAATATGATATGAATCATCACAGTGTTCATTTAATTTTTTTTATGAACCTTCTTTGTATGATAATTAATTTTATGTGCAAGAGGAAGAGTAAAAGAACGAAGAAAAACATATAATTTGTGATGACAATAGTTCTCATACTTGTGGTATATATCTACATGCTCTTGCTTGCGAAAATTCTAAAACATTCAGTATTTTGTAAACTTACCTCTTTCATTGGCATTCTCAACTTCAAAATTTCACTGTACCTTCTCAGTACTTCTTTTGGAGCGTGTATCTGAAAAAAATTAGACAGATAGAACTTTCAAAGCAGAGAGAAACCAGCTACAATATCAACTTTTTTATTTATCTAATATAAAATTCTTGTGTCACAGTGTTAGTTGCCATACTCCCCTATTTTTATGAAATTTTAAATGTGCATTCGGTAGATCTAAGTCTATTTTTCATACCCCTGAGTAATAACGGTGGTCTACCCCAAACATGTTTTTTATTTATTTTGTTTTAATTTTTCTATTGATGTGGTATGAAAAATATATATAACCGCTAAATTTTCACTTTTCTATTACCAACCCCTATTTTTTAATAAACAATTTAATCATTTTTGACCTTGAATGTGTGCCTTTTCCAATTAGATTGGCATTTGCATTGACTATTAATTCCCTATTACACCTATTCATTTTGAATGTGTGCAATTTCCACTTAGATTGGCATTTGCATTTACTATTAATTCCCTATTACACCTATAGATGTGCCAATTCATTTTAAATGTGTGCAATTTCCGATTAGATTGGAATTTGCAATGACTATTAATTCCCTATTACACCTATAGATATGCCAATTCATTTTAAATGTGTGCAATTTCCGATTAGATTGGAATTTGGAATGACTATTAATTCCCTATTACACCTATAGATGTGCTAATTCGTTTTAAATGTGTGCAATTTTCGATTAGATTGGCATTTGCAAATACTATTAATTCCCTATTAAACCTATAGATGTGCCAATTCATTTTGAATGTGTGCAATTTCCAATAGGATTGGCATTTGCATTGACTATTAATTCCCTATTATACCCATAGATGTGCCAATTCATTTTAAATGTGTGCAATTTCCGATTAGATTGGCATTTGCAATGACTATTAATTCCCTATTAAACCTATAGATGTACCAATTCACTTTGAATGTGTGCAATTTCCAATTAGATTGGCATTTGCAATGACTATTGATTCCCTATTAAACCTATAGAGGTGCCAATTCATTTTGAATCTGTGCAATTTCCAATTAGATTGGCATTTGCAATGATTAATTATTCCCTACTATACCTATAGATGTGCCAATTCATTTTGAATGTGTGCAATTTCCAATTAGATTGGCATTTGCATTGACTATTAATATTAATAAGTCCAAGGGCCAAACACGTTTTTTATGTGGGCTAACAGGATAAGGGATTATTATTATTAATTGTTAGTATTATTGTTGTTCTGACACACACAATTACAATGTGTTAGTTATTATCTTCTACCCAAGAAATTCCATAGAAATAATTTATGTGGCAAAACAACGTTTACTGGGTCAGCTAGTATTATTATATTATCTAGAGAGAACCATCCTTTTGTATAAATCGGGTTACATTTGTATTATATTTGACATTATATTAAATCTATGTATAGACTGTATATACATAAAACTGTATATAAATTATAAACCTTTTCATTTCTTTCAACCTAAAATTCGAAATGCTAGAAAATGGGTAAAAACCAACTCAAAACGCTTTTACTGTAGACTATCATACATTATCTAGAGACATGAAGGTTATGTTTGAAACTTTTTTCAATTTATAATGATGTTTTATATGTTTTCAACATTTCTCTCCGAGATATATGCAGACTAATTTGCAATATATTCACAACAAAAAATACCTCGTTTCATGCGCATTTTCAAAAATTCTCCTCAACTTATTATGCTTATGACGATTTATTGATTGCTGTTTTTTCAATAAGATTTATAATAATACCATTTCCTAACTTCAATATGCGTATTTTTGTTGTGCACAAATAAAAATAAAAGTATCTGCTTCTATAAATCTGACTGACCTTCACAAAGTTCAGTCCGTTCGGTTCTTGAGGTTCAAATTCCAACTCCAGCCCTTCCTTCAATAGATTTGTTTCGAATATTTGTCTCTTCTCGAAAGATTCGGGCGTAATAGCTTGATGATCGAAGCCATCCCAGACTAGTATATAGTCGACAGACCTTAATCCATCTTTGAAAAAAATTTTTGGAGTTGCACACCTCACTGCGTTACATTCTTGACTAGATTTTTTGCGACAGGGGGAACCATTACATTCGACGAGGTCTGGGATGCAATCTCCACTTTCCATATTATTTTCGTGAATCCTAACTATGTGCGATGAAGGACCTTCTTCAATGAAATCTCTAAAAGAGCAATAACAAGTGGTATGTTTACGTGTGAATATGGGTTGTGGAAACGAACAGGAAATCAATAAAATTTAATCATCATGAGTAACGGAGCATGGAATTTATTCAATTAAATTCTAGAATTCATTATACTCACGTGAGTGGTTTTAATTACCAAATTAATGTCAACAAACAGAGTTTGTTATCTTGATCTACATGGTTAACCTGAATATTTTATATTTATGGTTCCAAAGAGAATAAATGTTAGGTAATGCTTTAGGTTCATTCAATGAGACTGAGTAAAATTCTACAGAACAGATAAAATCAAGATCTTGGAATAATTCACACAAATTTGCACATCGTGTGCAGTCATATGCTGTCTGTCACTCAACACACGTTTTGCTAACCCAGTTGGCATCATCGTGTCGTATTGTAATCATGAACTTCATTATTTCTCAATAAGAATTTTTTAAAGTAATTGGGTGGCAATCCTTTATGCAGCTTGAATATAAAGATCATAGTCATAATAGTCCGATTGTGGAAGATTATATTACCGACTCAGCAAAAAAAGTGAATTTATTTTCCTTTTATAAACTTCTTACCTCTCTGTATCCATTTCAGAATCCAAATTTTCAGCACTTTTATAAAAACTAACAACAGACATAGCATCTATATCTGGCTGAGAATATCGGTTATCACAGGCGGTTTTTTGAGGATAATTAACAGATCTGGATTTCTTCTCATCATGATCTCTGACTGCCGACTGATCATGACCATGAGATAGATTTGAGTGATCTAATGTACTTGCATGATGAATCGAATAAGTATTTTTTGATTTTCCAGCATTCTTTCGAAATGAAACGGCTGGGGTTGAGATACTTCGCAACAAAGGTGATTTATCCGTAGAGTATAATTTTGATCCATTCTCAGATTTTTGTGTAATGGACATTCCAGTGAGTTCACCTGTTGAATTCGCTGAAAAAACCCGGAACTTTTATTTAAAGCAATGACTCATTATAATTATCACAGTGTTGTTACTCATATTTATTCAAATTTACAATATTTACATCCTTTTAATGACCGAGAAATGTAAAATTCACGAGTTAAATCAACGAACGCACTTCATGACTTCCCAAAAATAAAACAATTTAAAAATAACTGCAAACCTTCCAGAAAATCATTGTTTTGTTCAAAGTAAAATTAGAATTGTAACATACCTTGTATACGAAATTACGGTTTATTCAAGTAGGTACGATTTTTACTTTTTTGAACGAAATTTTCGGTTATCTCATTTGTAATAATTTTTCATCAACAACTATTTTTACTAATGACATTGTAGACTTAAAAAAAAGAAAAAAACTAGTAAAGTCAAAATTGAATCTGAGTTATGAATGCCCATTGACAGCTACGAACGATTTGAACTACTACTGTAGTATTTGAACTACTACCACTGGCGAACTACTATTTTAACAGAATGTGACTAGTGCACCGTTTGGAGTTATTTAAATAATCGTTATACATTTGTACTATCTTTAAGGACTGTATATTTTACGCAGGTATTCAGTGCTGTATGTGAGTTTCAAAAAGAACGATACGTAATTTATTCGAAATATTACAACGAGACTCCTGTAGGCCCATATTCAGTACACATAAAATTTCTGTATTATAAAGAGCCTGTTTAATAAACAAACAAAAACTTTTCTCGCCAGTTTTCTGGGGTGAACTTGACGAGATAAAATGAGAAGATGAAATACAAATCAACCCTTTTAATCACAAACCACTGCCAAACTACAAAATGAGCAAAAGAAGAAGACAGAGGTGGAAGTAAAACACTAAACATCAAGGAAACGATTAGCATTAGCTGTTTTCGCCTGGGTATTAAACAAGGGGAACAAAATACATTATTTTGTCGAAGCTGGGTAATGGCCTAGAAGCCAAACCCAAGCCAAGAAGAAGAAAGAGAAGTTGCATAGGTTATATTTTGTTACTAATTTAGTAATTACACAGTATATAAGTAAACTACTTACTTATGTACGGTGCTATTTATATATTTTTTAGGACAATCCTTTGAAAATAATAAAATAAAATGGGTAGTCCTGAGCTCGAAAGGAATAACAGTTTTGAATCTGACTGTTGTAGAAATTACAAAGGCCTTCAAGTCCTGCATTCGAATGATCAAATCAAAGAACTCCAAACTATATTAAGGGACAGGTGAGTTTCATATCTTCCCAATATAAATAATTTGAAAAACGCCTTTCAGGAATACCTCACGAAGCGACTTCAAATTTTATGCCGATCGTCTTATTCGCCTAGTCATTGAAGACAGTCTGAACCAGCTTCCGTTTACGGACTGCAAAGTTGTTACTCCCACCGGAGCTACTTATGACGGACTCAAATACAAATCGGGGAACTGTGGGGTATCTATTGTGAGGTCTGGTGAGTCCATGGAACAGGGGCTTAGAGATTGCTGCAGAAGTATAAGAATAGGGAAAATTTTAGTCGAGTCTGATGCTGACACTCACGAAGCACGTGTTGTTTATGCAAGGTTTCCTGAAGATATATCACAGAGAAATGTAAGTTCACATATTGGTTGGAATGATACAGAATCATTTTGGTGTATAATATTTCTGTAGTAACAGGGTTATCTTCTTGTATTATTAATACTAATATAATATAAATAACTAAGTTAGAATTAGCTGTCTCAACACGGCTAAGGAATTTTCGTTTGGTATTTTACTTAGTTTTCCATTTTAGGTATTATTGATGTATCCCATAATGTCGACTGGAAATACTGTTAGTAAGGCAGTGCATGTTTTGAAAGAGCACGGAGTCAATGAAGAATGTATAATACTGAGTAATTTGTTCTGTACTCCCCAGGCTGTACAGACTGTCTTGGATTCGTACCCAAGAGTAAGTATTTGAGTTGAAAAAGTGCTAAATTATTTCAAGAAACCAACAAATTTTCAATTAGTTCGAAAGATAACTTACATATTCCCGAAGAACTGAAAAAATGGATTTTCAACTGAACTTTTGAGACATGATAAGCATGAATCAATAATTATGTCATTTGTATATGTAATATCAGTTATTCTATCGATTCTGGTTGAAGATTAAAAAAAAACACAGATCTTTTTATTAACAATTATTCAGGCTGAAAATTCTTGGAAGTGCAATTATGTATAAAAAAAAGTCTTGGGCAAAGTTTGTTCTTTGGTATGTTGAATATTTCATTATAATTTTTTCTTTCAGATGAAAATCCTCACTTCAGAAGTACATCCTGTGGCTCCCAATCACTTTGGGCAAAAATATTTTGGTACCGACTGAGAACAATTTATATAAGCCAAAATGTTGATTTTAGAAAATATTTCTTTGTGTTTTTGATGGACTGAAGTGAAACAATGTTGTAAATGAAATGAAATGAAATTCCTACAATAGTTCTATTGTAGGAATTTCAACCTGTAAAAATTTTTCAGTTGAGCAGATTGTTAATAAATATATCTTTATTTAAAACTACATTATTCTCCCTATTGCTAACATATTTGGGTTTTTTATGAAGACTTTGTTGTGTTATTTGGTAATACTGAAAACACCACGAACAGAAACTACAAATATCACTTTATGAAATTTTTTTCTCATATGGGACAAACTATATTTCATTTTTGAGAATCTTGTGGACTTTGTATAAAACAGCACAAATCCTACCATTAGACAGTTTGCTGTTTGTTAATGTTTTCAAAGTTTATAAAGGAAATTCAAAAAAATTATATCAAATATGCTGCTTTATTGTCTAATGAGAAATTTTTATTGACAAAGCTTTGGTAAACAAACATTGCTTTTTTGAAGAAGAAAAGAAAACATAGTCAAGTACATGAAATCACAGAGTATCTGCTAGTAGATTAATAAAAATATATAGAGTCCTACCATGAATATTATAAATTTTAAATGTTTCATTTTCTAAAAAATATTTGTTGCATACAAAATAAACCAAATAACGTACCTACAGCTTGTCAAATGTAGGAAGAGCTCTGTCAATTGCAATATTTAGGGAACCCGCAGGTAATGAAAAATGTCTCTACCTAGATTTGACAACCTGTAAACGCATATATAAACAAAAAATCTGCTCCACCAACATGCATAACTTGGAGATCTCGTACTTTGAAATTCTGAGTTGAAAGTTTAATTTCTCCCAAGTAAGAGAACAGTCCATAAATTTTGAAGTGACAATTTTACAAAATTCTCAAAAGTTGTGAAATTTTGGGCCGTGAAAATAGAAAGAATAATAATAGAAAACAATAAGCACAATATTATTCAAGTGTTGTTTCCTTTCATTTGTATTGAATATTCCTATACATGGTGGATATGGTGGAATACCAAGGACCTTGGTCCAAAGTAGAATAATTTCCATTATCATTTTTACAATTACCAAAATTTATTTTTGTTTGTGCCTACCCTAACGGGCATAAGCATTCAGCCAATCTTTGAATAGCTAAGTAAGAAAATCAATATATTATAGTAGTAACTAATCCCTCGGCTTTAATGTTTTCGAAAGTTGGGAAATTTTGCTGATGAGGTTGGGAAAATTTGGATTCCCTCCCCCCCTGGTATTTCTTTTCGCGACGGCCCTGTGTAGGAGCATTGAAGACAAAATATGAATAACCAAGAAGAGTACTGAATTAAAATAACTGCGTAACGCAAGTAAGACATAAGTGGAACCACCTATTAAGAAATGTATTAATAATAATAATAACTGCGTTCACGCGGTACTGCCTATTCCCGGTACTGACGATGCCCAATAGGCTGATGAAACAGCTGTCAACCGGTGGCTCTTAAGTTGAAATCAATACGGGAGTGATCAGAATGGTACTTTGACACCACAATAAAATAATGAAGGTACGCTTATGTCTAACTGGGAAATAATTCCACCAGTATTTTTTATTGTCACACAAAAAGTTATCACCAAGAACTCTAGCTGAGTTTTCGAAGCCAAGGCGATTGTTAGTGTGACTTGTATGTGTTGTTTAATTTTAACGTGTTGGCTACCTGCTTAATTTATTTTAATTCAAAACAGCAGATATGGAGAGGTAGGCATTTTTCTTGTAGGCGGAATACTGTGAACGAAACGGTCCCTGTAAATCAAATTTTTCTGAGAAGAAACGTGGTACAATGTACAATTCAGGGGGGCATACGACACGGTCCCTGTAAAAGCAAACAATTGATCCTTTCAGGAATTTTTCCATTTCAATATATGTATATNCAGTCTATTTGGGTTAATAACTGATGTCATGCATGATATTTTATTGTTTGGAACAATGACGAAATACAAATCGAATAACAGAATTGAGTTTATAACAAAAAGGAAGAAGAAAAGATCACCTCGAAGGTACTGTTTTAATTATGTGGGAAATACAGATATTGTTTCTACAATATCTGAAACGAATTTAAGAAGAATATCAGGAATGGAAAAAATTGGGGAATTTCGTGATAAATCCTTTGATGAAATATTTTCAGAAGATTCACAAAATTCCCAAATAATTCAAAACGATGACTTTGCAAAACAATTATTACTTTTTCTGTGTACTCTACACATTCGCAATTCCATTTCCTATAAATATCCCTTCAAAACCGACCTTCCTCACATTTTACTTTGTTACTATCCACAACCGTCTTAAGATAATATCTGTTGGGAGATGAACTCTTGATATTTTTTTTAACTTACAGGAATAACACGTAATTTTTTAGTTTCAGTTGGGACTGTGATTTAAGTGAAGAAGTTCACAGGTATGTGTCATAAAGGTTCATTTATTCAAAATATATATACTTCATTGTTTCGAATTATTATCTTACTAACAAAGCCATTTATAAATACATAATATGAAATTCGATTTCTGAAAAGACATGTTACAAATTTCAAAAATCAAAAATATTGAATGATACAGGGAATCAAGTGACACATAACTTTTAATATTTCAATAATTTGAAACAAACAACGGAAGTCTAAATTAGTAACTTTATTCTATATTTCAGTTAATCACGAATATTAATTTGAATGAATAATATATTTTTATAAACAGAGCTCACACTTGATTCTTTAGTTTTAGTCGAATATTTTTAGTGCTAATAAACATTACTGAAGTCACGAAGCTCAGAAAAAAAACGTAATCCACTTAATATCCGATATTCATATTTTTTGGGTGAGGGTGAATGAAAAGAAGGTGCTGAATTAAAAAAAAAAGCTTGAATTGGGTTACATCACATTAAATGATAGTTTTAAGTTCAACCATTTCTTCAACATGTGATTTATTTCTGTAAAAATTTTTTTCGTCTTCAGGAAAATCGAGAAATTTTACAGAATGTATGAAAGAGAAAAGGACAGACGCAGATCAAAAGATTTCAAGAAAAGCAAAAATAAAAAAAAGCATAGAAAAAATAAAAAAAAGCAGAGGAGAAATAAAAAAAAGCAGAGGAAAAATAAAAAAAAAGCAGTGGAAAAATTAAAAAAAGCAGAGGAAAAGGAGGACCCAAACATTGGGTAATTAAACT